TGACCTGAATGTGACATATAACCCTGGAAAGTAGGTACTTATTGTATATAGCAGATACCTTGTCCAGAGCTTATTTAATTATTCCCTGATTTTGACGATCCCGAATTAAAATTTGCTATTCATTCTTTGGTCAATCATTTGCCCATATCGGAAGAACGAAAATTTTAACTAAAGCAAGCAACAAAAGATGATCCTGATTTAAGCACAATTATTAAGTATTTAGAATTTGATTGGCCTGATAAAATTAAAATTCCATTCCACCTTCGCCATTATTTAAAGTTAAGATAATCTTTTAGTGTGTGATGATTTTTGGTTTCTCGGTAACAAGCTTGTAGTTCCGAAAAAATTGCAACTTTTTATGCTTCAAAAGTTGGATGAGGGGCATATTGGTATGGATAAAGTAAAATTGAAAGCTAGACAAGTATTTTATTGGCCAAATACGAGTTTAGACAGAAAATTTCACTAAAAAATGTAAAGTATGCGAAAAGTTTGCAAGGAAAAATATCGAGGAACCTTTAAAACCATATAAATTGTCCGAAAGACCTTGGCAAAGAATTTCAGCTGATATTTTTTCTTATGCTAGTCATGCTTACCTAGTATAGCATATGATGCTTACTCAAATTGGCTAGAGGTGGTAGTTTTGAGGAACAAAAATCGGCTACTGAAATAATTTTAAAACTAAAGTCGATTTTTTCTAAATACGGATGTCCAGACGAACTGACCTGTGACAATATTCCTTTTGGTAGTTTTTTAACGAAATAATTTTCAAAGGAATGGAACTTTAAAATTTTGTTGAGAAGCCCTCAATTATCCACAATCTAATGGCTTATAGCGGAATAGCAAAGAGTATAGTTAAGAAATTTCTTGAGGAAGGAAAAGATATGTTTGAAGCTTTACTTCAAATTTATTAACTATTCCCCTGCTCAGGTTTTAATGAGTCGCACTTGTAAAACAAAAATTCTCATTTCTGTTGACCTTTTAAAGCCAACACTTTGCAATAATGTTTCTGATAAACTCCAATGCAGATTGAATCGCAATAAATCCTATTTCCATAGAAATGTTAAATTTTTGCCAGATATTGACCCAGGTCAAAATGTCACTGTCTTCAATCACATTACAAAAAGGTGGGAGCCTGGCCAAATCGTAAAGAAGCATGAAAGTCCTCGTTCTTTTATTGTTCAGACTGAGAATGGAGAAATTGTTAGACGAAATCGAGTAGATTTGAGAGAATCACAAAATGATTTTAATGTCAAATCAAATTCAAATGAAATTTTAGAACCTCTGGAGTCTCACAAATCTACTGAGTGTCCTGTTATTCAAAGTCCATTGTAAAGTTCTTGTGTGGTGTGTTTAAGGATAATGTTAAGTCTGGTGTTGAATTTAGTTTAAAGTCCAACCCAGAACCCACTCTTCAAAAAACCTAGATCAGGTCGCACCCTCGGTCGCACCACTAAACCTGTACAAAAATTAAATTTATAAAATCCTTATGCCTAGTTTATACTTCTGAATTAAGAAATAAACTAAATTAAGAATTAAACTAAACTAAAAATTTAAATAAATCACCATAATTTGATGCTGTTGTTTATACCTCAAATTAAAAAATTAAATTGAACTAAATTAAATTAAAAGTTGGCTAACTTTCAACTAAGAATTAAGAATTAAGGAGATCTGCTAATGACTGGTTTATACTTCCAAAATTAAGAATTAAACTAAACTAAGAAATAAATTGAAAATTAAATTAAACTAAATTTTAAAAATGCAGTTTATACCTAAAATTAATAGGTATGGATTTTCTGAAATTAGCTAGCTCTTTACGTAATCACAAACGACAGAAAGGAACATTGAAATAAACAAAAACCAGCTAAATAGATCGATCTCCTTAATTTTAAATTCTTAGTTGCAAGTTAATAAGGCGAGTTTAAACAACTTCATAACTTTAATTTAGTGCGTAATTCACAATTTAGTGCATAAGCTTTAAAGTTAAATTTAATAATTTCTATGGAAGCGTTTACCTATACATCTATTTAATGCTCAATTCATAATTTAGTTCATAATGGATAACCTTAAAAGTTCCCAACTTTTAACTTTTATGCATTAAATTATGAAAAAACTGGACCTTTTGAGTTCAATCAGTGTCAAATTTCAAAATATCAATAGAATATTAATGAAATTTCAAAAATTATGTTTTAAATTATGAAGTTGTTTAAACTGGGGTATTGAGTTATGTATTAAATTACGCATTAAATTATGAATAAATTACGACTTAAATTTATCAAAAGTTGTTTAAATCCGGCTTTAGCCAACTTTCAATTTAATTAAGTTTAATTTAATTTTTTAATTTGAGCTATAAACAACAGTATCAAATTATGGACGTTTAACATTTTAATTTTTAATTTAGTTTAATTATCAATTTAGTTTAATTCTTAATTCAGAAGTATAAACCAGGCATACATGTCAATATGTTTGTTGTCACTCTAGCTGGTTTTTGTTTTCCATGTTTCTTTCTGTCATTTGTGATTACATGAAGAGCTCGCTAATTTCAGAAAATCCTTAATTCTTAATTTTAGGTATAAACTGCATTTCTAAAGTTTAGTTTAATTTAATTTTCAATTTATTTTTTAGTTTAGTTTAATTCATACTTTTGGAAGTATAAACCAGTCATTAAGAGGAAAGATGTATTATTAAATAGAATAGATCATTGGTTTAGGTTGCCTAGTGCATATTTGACTGGTGATTCTGTGATTGACAGTCTTTGTCAAGATGTTGTCAACATGTCAACAGAGTTGTAATAGTTTTGGTTGTCATGTGGTTGTCTCATTCCTTAAAAATATAGTAGATTATACCACGAGTCAATAATGATCGCTATTATTCCCGAGGTATATTTATTCCGTAACATTCCGAGGGAATAATAGCCATTATGGCGAGTAGTATACTCTACTTTATTTACGACAAATTAATTTATTTGAAATTTTCTTTCCAAAAACGCTCTTTGTTCATACATCTCAATACAAATACACAAGCACTACGCGTTTGACACTGACACTGAATTTGTTCTATACTGTTTCCATGGTACTACCTACTTATTTAATTTGAAAAAATTTGTGATTGGTGTGCAAGCGGGATTAATGACCATTAATCCCTGCGGGAATAATAGATGTCATTAAACTGCCAAAATCACAAATATAATACTTACATTATATGTCAGTCGTTAATAAAAGCTTTATGGCCGTTTGCACCGACCATGTTGAAGGACGTTTAACAATACCTAATCAACGTTTAAAGTGACATTTTAACATATGAAAATGCTACTTTAAACGTTGATTATCGTTAAACCTCCCCTAAAATGGTCGGTGCAAACCGGCCTTAAAGACTCAAGTTTGGCATTATTTATTATTTCCAAATAATAATACAGTTGTCTCTTATTGGTCAAAAGTTACCCCACTTCAAACTCATCCTTTTGTGACCCCCTTTGAGTCCCTAAGCTCGAGTTCTGACCCAATGGCATCATTTTATTATAAATATTTATAACACCACTTTAGATATTTCAATGAAAATTGGCATTTATGTACTATGTATCAAGAGCTATGCAGGTCAAATTCCGTAAAAACGCCAGGGTTAATTTTTTTTTTTAAAATATGGCGCTTCAAAAAATGCCTCTTGATATAATAGTATGTTTATTTTTGAAAACATTGTCACCCTGTTAGTGATGTAAAATTCCTGAAACATTCAAAAGCCGCGAACATTCTCCAGAACTTTCCGGGAATATCGAAAACTTTCAGGAACTTATGGAAATATTGTTTTTTTTTAAATTTTATTTATAGCTAAATCAGACAAATCGTAGTAAGCTTTATTTACCTATTATTGTAGTGTACTGACTATAGACTTTAAACCAAGAAAAACACATATTTTTTTCTGTAAGATCAGCGAAAAATTAAACTATGTAGTAAAAACACTTTTATGGATGGTTAAATAAGGCTTTAAAGGAAAAGCTGATCCGATAAACCCAATCTCTCAGCTCTTTATTTTTTATCTTTCTTCAATAAAGATTATTTTTAAAAAAGACAAACTATAGGCTGTAGGTACATCAGCTGGTGATCGGGTAAATCGGATCAGCGTTTCCCTGAAGACAGTTCGACTGGGCTACATCATCAACATAAATTGAAATGACGTCACTGACACCTTATATTCGCAATAATCTCGCATTTTCAATAAATTCTTCTGGAAAGTTCTTGGAAATATTCTCGAAAGTTCTCAGAAATATTCTTTCAAGAGTTTTTGATTGAAAGTTTCCGGGAATATTCTCATTCAGCAGAACGTTTCCATTTTTTATCGGCAAATATTCTCGAAAATTTCCCAATGTTCGCATGGGAATATTCTCGACTCACATCACTACACCCTGTATCTCAAAACTTTTCTACTTGAAATGAACCCAAAAATCACACCCTTAAATATTGACAATCATTTAGAGAACATTCTGTATATACATCTGGAATAAATTCAACAATACCTAATGTTTAAGTTTTATACAATAAATGCAAATATGTATAACATAAACCTTATACCTTAAAACCAAAAAATTAAAGTTCAGCTCTGCTGACAGGCTCTAACCCCAATCAACTGCAATAAAATATAAACAGGTGCAAACACTTCGGAATAATCCAAAGTGATTTGCCCCAATAGTTTTTTGCACAACAAAAACTTAAACACAAAAACCAGAGACAAAAAAGTCACCGACCAGCACAGTTTGGTGATGCAAAACTTAAAGGTCATCTCCATGATCATCCGTATAAACACAATGACACAAAAGTAGGCGTTGAGGGCGTCACCTGTGAACAGCGGGGCAAAAATCCACCACCAATCGTTGCTGGAAACTTCCAAATCCGGATCGAATTTGAAGACAAGCATCAGTGTAAAGCCTAGTAGAGCTAGTAAGTTAATCCAAATTTCAAATGTGGTCAATCCTAGCCATTTGACCATTTCTTGTATAGTGAAAAACATGGCTACTGTTTCCTATCAGAAGTGCTTGGTTGTTCCAATAAATCACTCCGGAAAACTCTTATTCTCAAACCAGAATTAAATCTTTTTTGCAATTCGTAATCTGCATCATCGACGGTTGGTTCTAAATCGTCTATTAATGTTGTGGTGTACGTTTTGGTTTCATGTTGATAAGAAACGTGCCTTTCACACACTTGAAGAGCCAATAATATGCCTCGTTGAATTGCAGCTCCTAGACAATAGATTATAATTTCGTTTTCATTGTTGTTTATTAGTTTTGTGCAACGTTCTAGGAGCCCCTACAAAGAATTCCAGCTATATAACTGATAAACAACTTGATAAATAATTACCTTGATGCTTGTTCTAGTGCTAACATAAATCACGTTTTTGCCTTGTTCGGGTTTTTGGGGCTGCCTCTTGCGTAAAACATGATTCGGATGTTTATTGGGCCTTTTGGGCCTTTGCGGAGCCCTGTTACTTTCTGCCATCACATATCGTCACAAATATTGCCGAGACGAGTTTGTTTTGTTGGAAAAATGCAATTTTAACAAAAATAAAGATGGGAAAGTTTTGATGTTGTTGGGTTGTCAGAATTTTAGGTTATGATGGTCATCCTCTCTTCATCTTACTTCCTTGAAAGGAGTGCGTTCAAGGATTCACGGACATCATTTGATAGTTGTTAATTTTCCATTCAAGATATTTCATCAAATTATTGATTGCCTACATAATAACCATAATATAATGTCTAATATTTAAAAAACAACATACTTTTACAATAAAGTTTCTCCATAATAAAAAAATAGAACAAATTCAGTACAAGGACTTAGGACAATGCGTTATCGAACGCACCCACAACCCTAGCAGCTAATTTTTGACAAGAGTCAATGTCAAATGTCAAAACATACCAGCTTGAAAAAAAAATGAAAATGAGGTTATGTTGCTGTTGTTTGTAAACTTGAAACGTTTGCCAATATTTAAGAACTTTTTCTATATTTTAAGCTCAAATAAACTATATTAAAATGGTCAGAAGGTAAGCAGCCCCATAGTTAGTATAATAAGATACAGATAAAGTTTAAATCTCGGTTTAAATTAGGCCCAAGAAACCTCCAAGTAAAAACCATCAAAGGCATTGTTTATAGAAGCTCCTTTTTACATCCTTTCATTAATCCATATTTTCCTAAATAAGCCCTTAATAAGTATTATTAATTAGGTATATGTAATTGCGAGGGTTTTTTCACCTAACAAAATTTGTACAGATATTTCTATGTACCTAATGTTATTGCCAACTGCGAGGTCAACTATTTCCATATAGGTATTAACAAAATATTTCCACATATTACCAGGTATTTCCCTAGTACTATCACATATAACCAGGTATTGCCATGCTATTGACAGACTAAAATCAAATATTTGTCTCACCAGAATTCTAGGTATTGACATATCCACAGGTATTTACATGTTATTAATAGGTATCAGCCAATGACATTAACATATTTTGCCTAGATATCTACAAGTATTGACATATATTACCTACATAATTAACAAGTAGGTATTGCATAATATTGACACTATTGACATAGTATTAACCTGGTATTGAAATATATTAACCAGTGATTTGTACACCGATTAACAAGGTGAAAAGCCCCTGGATCACAGGCATTGTTTATAGAAGCTCCTTTTAACATCCTTTCAATAATCCATATTTCCCTAAATAAGCCTCTAATAAGTATTATCAATTAGGTATATGTAATTGTTTCCTTCCGAGAGAGAACTTGAATTCAGAAAAGGTCACGAAGAATTACCTAAGTAGACTTTCAACTTCCAATCAAATGCCTTAAAAAATAAATGAGATAAAGTCATTTTGGTATACGTATATTTTAAGTGATACCACTATTGCTATATCCGAAACGGTAAGAGCTACAGGGTCGGTTAAATTAGAAAAAAGTTGCCTTATTTGATGCTCATTTAAGACTCGTTTACAGAGTTGCCAAATTCCTTTTAGTTTATGAAATACAGGGTGATTTCTAAGAAACGTCCAAAAACATTTCATCATTTATTTCGAAAACTATTGATTTTCGAGACACAATTTAAATTTGAAAGTTTTATAATTTTTTTCGCTCTACAACATGACATCTTCAAATTTCAAATCCGATGTTTTGTGATCGAAATACCATCATCAACTTCATTTTTATAAATACGGACCTGAATTTTTTTATGTCATTTTTAGGAAGTGCCCTTAATTCTCTTTCCAAAAATGACATAAAAAATACAGGTCCGTATTTAAAAAAAATAAGTTGATGATCGTAGCTCGATCACGAAACGTCGGATTTAAAATTTGAAGATGCCATGTTGAAAAGCGAAAAAAATTATAAAACTTTCAAATTTAAATTGTGTCTCGAAAATCAATAGTTTTCAAAATAATTGATGAAATAATTTTAGGCCTTTTTTATAAATCGCCCTGTATTTCATAAACTAAAAGGACTTTGGCAACACTGTAAATAAGTTTTGAATGAGCATCAAAAAAGGCAACTTTTTTCTAATTTAACCGACCTTGTAGCTCTTACCGTTTCGGATATAGCCACAGTGGTATCACTTAAAATATACACCCTGTATATTATATTACAAAATCAAATTTTTACTTCAAAGGAATTTTATCACGGCCTGTGGCACTAAGAAATATATTGTTCTGGGTATTTTTCTAAGTGTAGAATTTTTTAAATGAAAATATGCACGCAATGACCAATTATTTTGAAAAATACATGTCGTTGTTCCATTACTCGACACTCTTGGAACCAATAGTTGACATGTTGCCTGTATCAGTAGAAACTCTGGTAGAAACCTCAATAATGTAAAAATCAAACTTTTTATCAATAAAAAATAACATTGGGAAACTTTTTGTTGGGAAGAAAATACAAATTTCAATTTCAAATTGGTGATACAAGAAATGGTTTCAAAAACATTGGTACATTGTGTTTTTTTTTGCTGATGTAGCTACAATAAGCCCCCTATCGCAATCATTCAATGCAGCAATCATGTCTTCTGGTAGTTCTGGTGCATATTTCAGCAATTTCCATTTTTCATAAGCCATCTCTTGATTTAAACCTGAAAGGACCAATTGTTGACACTCCAAAGCTCCAAACATTGACAGGGGTAACAGGGGTGTCATCTATTGGATCTATGACCGTTACATTCCCCAAACCCATATCTAGGTTTCTTTTTAATCCAGAGCAATAAAAAGAGTCAGACTACAATGTTAAAATATTTTACCGCCAAAAATCCATAAGTTGACACCAGTGTCAACATTTTGATCACCCCTCGTTTTGGGCTTCATAATAGTTGACACCCCCCCCTTAAAAAGTTTATTCCAGTTGTTTAAGAGATAAAACAATAATAAATATGTATTACAATGTATCTTATTATACAGTAAATATATATTATTCATAAATTATCAACCCTACCTTAGCTTTGAGAACTTTTGCTTTTATATCTTCTAAACTTACTACTTTCACTGGAAATCTTGAAAAAAGTTCAAACAATTGCATCTGTTTACTACTTCTTGCCACCATTTTGAAAAAACTTGTGATTTCAAATCCATACATCAGCTATAGCACGCAAGATGGCTCCAACAATACTATAAGCTATTTCAGTTAGCTTATAACCTCTATAAATTCTTATTTTCGGGAATAATATGCTAATGTGTCAACTTTTGGGGCCCTGTCAACAATTGGGTACTTTACCTTAAACCCTGAATCTCCTAAAGTCTAATCTTTTCAAAAATTTCTTTTGACAATTTTTTATTGCATGGATTGACCTCTGGGTTCCATACAACTGATGCATATTCTAGCTTTGTCCTAGACAGTGAATCATACAAAAGTTTGACTGTAGAAATTCTCATATCTTTTGTGTTACACTGGATAAACCCTATAATCTTAAGTCTCTCACCCACTATTTTGTCTACATGATCATTAAAGCTAATAAAACTGTCATATAAAACACCAAGGTCTCTAATTGAGTTTTTCCGAGAGTTTTCCTCTTCCAACTTAAGTAATATTGTTTAGAAAGTTGATTTTATCTATTTTTTGCTGTAAATTTCATTGTAAAATACTTTGATACATTAACTGCTAACTTGTTATCCACAAACCATTGATACAATTTGCACAAATCACTTTGTAGATTTTGACAATCATTGATATTTCTTATGCTTCTATATATTCTAATATCATCCTCATAAATTAAAATTTTTGAATGCTAAACCATTGCATTAGCATAGTTATGGTCAGCAATAAGCTCCAAATTATATTTATAATAATTGCAAAACCTTAAAAATTTGTGCTGAACACTTTCTAGCATGGCCTTGTGAACATTATATTGCAGAGTCCAACTACCGGGCCATATTCAAGCTGAGACCTAACTAACCCACAATACACAGATCTCACCGCGTCCAAAGATAAATCCTGACATTTTCTAAGAGTGAAGCCCAACATTCTGTTGGCCTTTACAACCAGTTGAACCCTTGGTTGATCCATATGGTCAGTAAAATGTACTTAAACAAGAATTAAATAGTATCCCTAAGTCCTTAGCTACCTTACTTATTTTCAGTTGGTGACCATTTAATGAGTAGCAGGATTTGATTTGATTTTTCTTCCGAGCAAATTAAATCTGGAAACATATGTCAACATTTAGATCCAATAACACCAGTCAGATAGACTATTGAGATCACTTTGGAGTAAAAGAATATCACGTTCATTAAGATTTATTAAAAATAGCTTAAAGTCATCTGCAAACTCTAATAACCTTCAACGAAAAATCACCAATTTTAACAATGAGCTCTCTATCCCTAAGAAAAAAACCAGTTTGCCAATCTCTCAGAAAACCCCAAATTTATCAACTTCTTAATAAGCAAATCATGATTGACTCTGTCAAATGCCTTGGAGAAGTCAGTAATTATACACAGCATCCATCTGGAATCCCCTCTCCAAGACATCTATCAGCTTACTGTGGTAGATGAGTAAATTGGTCAGTATAGACCCCTCTAAATCCATGTTGATCATCAAAAAGGATTTCCTTGCACTTCCAGTTTAAGTATGTGAAATTTAAACATAGATCCAGATTTTTAGAAAAATTGATGTGTGCAAGGACAGGTTGAAGAAATTACATAAAGGGTGAGATGAAGAGATATGTTGCCTCACAACTGGGTTAATTTGAATCTTATCTCTTAGACGACTTACACACAAATCTCTTATTAATCTGACTTTGATTTTTATCAAGATAAGCTTATAGATTGTCGATTTCGGGGGAGTCGTTTCGGCTTTTCAGCCGCACAGCACTGCTACCTTTGCAGATATTTTGTGCGTGACTCTAACAAGATAAGCTTGCAGAAGAAAATTTTTATTTATTTTTTCTTAAATTTCAATCTTTTTGTTGTTTGTTTCCACTAGATCTATTATGCTGACACTGTCTGCTACTTTATTAATGATTATTTGTTTAACTTGGGAAAAACTCTATAATAAACTTTTGACAATATTACCATCTCATTACATCAAAAGTTCAAATGCACTTACAATTGCAGAATACTTTGGTTTTCTTAAACTCTATCAAATAAACAGGCAAATGACATTATATTTGATGTCAGTAATCATCACACATCCTATGAGTGTATTTATCTTCTTCAAAATAAGTCCAATGACAACTTGGTTGTGGTAAATTATTATTATAATTTTAGGAGTGCTGACTTCATAGGCTTAAATAATAATCTTGCATCAATGCAGTGGGAAACGCTGTTTTCTGCATCAGATTTGAATATGTCAATAGGAATTTTCTATGAGATATTGGAAGAAGCAATAGCCTACTTTGTACCACTAAAAAAATCAAAAACGTCCTAATTTCCCAAATGGTTCAGCCCAGAATTGAGTCATCTTAAGGCCTATAAACCTAGCAGTCCCAAGGTGGAAAAAAACTTCGGGAACTATATAATAATTAGGTGCTTTTTAGGTGCTAATCAGGGCCTCTAGTTAAAAATTAGGTGCTCCTTTAGTTTTTGAGAAAATCAAAAAAAACTATGGGACTGCTAGGTTTATAAAAGCTAGCAGTCCCCTATAGTAAAAAATATGTTTTCAATTTTTTTCTTTGTATCATAATTAGTTACGGATTTTTTTTTTAATTATCAGTTTACTTGTTGGTGTGTCAAAATGGCGAAAAAACTTCGGGATCTATATAATAATTAGGTGCTTTTTAGGTGCTAATTAGGGCCTCTAATTGAAAATTAGGTGCTCCTCTAGTTTTTGAGAAAATCAAAAAAAAACTAAGGGATTGCTAGGTTTATGAAAGCTAGTAGTCCCCTAATAATAAAAAAAATCTGTAACTCAGTTAATAATTAATCAATTCTATTTTCCCAGTCCCTTAGTTTTTTTTTGATTTTCTCAAAAACTAGAGGAGCACCTAATTTTTAATTAGAGGCCCTAATTAGCACCTAAAAAGCACCTAATTATTATATAGATCCCGAAGTTTTTTGCCATTCCGACACACCAACAAGTAAACGTAAAGCCAGTAGACCCCTAATAATTAAAAAAAAATCTGTAACTCAGTTAATAATTGATCAATTCTATTTTTTCTTCGACTATTTAGGAGCACCTAAAAAGCACCTAATTCTGATACAAAAGAAATTTTTGGAAAAATGTTTTTCACTATAGGGGACAACTAGCTTTCATAAACCTAGCAATCTCTTAGTTTTTTTTTGATTTTCTCAAAAACTAGAGGAGCACTTAATTTTTAATTAGATGCCCTAATTAGCACCTTAAAAGCACCTAATTATTATATAGATCCCGAAGTTTTTTTCCACCTTGGGACTGCTAGGTTTATAGACCTGTCATCTTACTAGCTTAAAAAGATCATCCCATAAAAAATTTGTAAATGATCATACTAGTGAAAACTACATGAAATTTTCTCATCTCAGGGCACAGTGTAAAGGAAAAGGGTTGTTCATTGCTAGTTGAACAAACTAATAAAAAAAAACATTGATGAATCTTTTAAAGTGAATCTGAAGTCTAGTCTGAAGTTATTCTGGAAATATGTGAATGGTCACCTAAATCTTACAGTCGACCTTCATGGTTGATGTACAATGAAGAAAATCTTGAAAATAATCAAGATATTGCAAACGCATTTGGTGAATATTTTGCAACAGTTTACTCAGCAAGTATTATACACCAGTCAGTATTAACTGATCAAAGCATCAATAGTCAAAATAAAAATTGTGGAAATATCAGTGTAGGCAAGATATATGAAGCAATCTCAGGGCTTTCTGATAAATTAACAGTTGGAATTCCTAATCTCAATGGTGAGATTTATCCAGATTATTGGAAACAAAGCTACTTAGAGAAGCTATCCAATGTCCAGAACTATCGTAGTATTTGTATACAATCTGCTATACCAAAATTATTTGATAAACTGCTTTCTGATCAGTTAACATTTGCATTCAAAGGTCTGATTAATGAAGCACTGCATGGGTTTTTTAAAGGAAAGTCCACTGTAACAAACCTGCTATCCTACCAGACGTCACTATTGAGTGCATTGGAAGATAGGGCACAGGTTGATTTTGTTTATACCGATTTTTCAAAGGCATTTGACAACGTTGACCATGGGGTATTAATGCAAAAACTGTTAGACATAGGCTTTAATACACATTTGTTTAAGTGGGATGAGAGTTTAAGGTTGGATGTTGGATCTTGTTTTAAGGAGCTGTAAATTCTTTGGTGTAGACTCACTTGAATGTGTGTATACTAATATAGTTCGCTCTCAACTTGAATATGGGTTAATTGCTTGGTTGGACCAATACCTATATTCACTATAGAAAGTTAAACAACTATTTTAGACTTACAATATTTACAAACAGTGACTTCACATGATAAATATGCACTTGACTATTTCCCTTGCTATTTCTCAATAACCCACATGCCAACCAGCATTCTAATTTTAATTAACAAATTGTCTTTCTCAATAATGTTATACTTACTTAATTTTAGAAAATATGGTTAATTTATTATTCAGTCAACAATACAATCAAACAAAACTAATAGTCTTTGTTACTTAACATTCTCAGTTACAGTACCGAAAGGAGATCTCGTCGCTCCCGCTCCAGAAGCAAAGAGAGACCCAGCAAAAGCAGCAGGAGAAGAAGCCGTTCCAAAGAAAGAGAAAGAAGAAGGAGCAGATCTAGAGATAAAGCTAGAGAAAGGTCTACAAGAGACAACAGAGACAGGAGTAGGTCTAGGGATAGATATAGACGAGACCGAGATAGGAGCAGTAGGGAAAGAGACAGGGACCGTAGAGATAGAAGTCGCGACAGAAAGAAAACCAAAAAAAGATCCAGATCTCGTTCGAATGAAAAGAAAAACGAAACCGCATTGACTTATGATCCAGTCAATTTGGATAAGGAGGAAGAGCAAAAAAGATTGGAGCTTGAAATGCAAAAGCGAAGGGAAAGAATTGAAAGGTGGCGAGCGGAAAGAAAGAAAAAAGAACAGGATGCCATTAAAAAAGAAGAAAAGTCTAGTAGTAGTGGAACACAGGAAAATTATAAAAAATGGTCTTTAGAAGATGAATCAGAGGATGAAGATAAAGATGACGATAAAAGTGAAGTGAAAAAAGAGCAAGATTCAGAAGATATAAAAGAAACTAAAATGGAAATAGAAGAAGTACCAAAAGAAACTCAAAAAAATAAAGAAGTTGACGAAGACGATGATGATGATAATGATAAAGAAGTTGATCCTTTGGATGCTTATATGCAAGGGGTACAAGAAGAAGTTAGAAAAATCAATAAGATAAACATTAAAAAATCCGACAAAAATGACCCAAATAAAAAAGGCTCCTTAGTAATTGTCACAGGAGTTGCCAAAAAGAAAGCCAACACTGACAAAGGTGAACTAGTCGAACAAAATCAAGACGGATTAGAGTATTCCTCAGAAGAAGAAGCTGAAGACCTAAAAGACACGGCTGCAAATATAGCTAACAAACAAAAAAAAGATTTAGCAAGAATAGACCATAATAACATCACTTATCTTACATTTAGGAAAAACTTCTATGTCGAAGTACCAGAAATAGCTAAAATGACTCAAGAAGATGTTGACGCTTACAAAGAAGAGCTAGAAGGCATTAGAGTTAAAGGCAAAGGTTGCCCAAAACCAATAAAAACGTGGGCCCAATGTGGAGTTTCTACTAAAGAACTCAACGTTCTAAAGAAAATGGGTTTCGACAAACCTACCCCAATTCAATGCCAAGCCATACCTGCTATCATGTCCGGAAGGGACCTCATCGGAATAGCAAAAACAGGCAGTGGCAAAACCCTAGCATTCCTATTGCCAATGTTCAGACACATCTTGGACCAGCCCCCTCTAGAAGAAACAGACGGCCCCGTAGCCATTATTATGACTCCCACAAGGGAATTGTGCATGCAAATTGGCAAAGACATCAAAAAGTTTACAAAAAGCTTAAACATGTACGCTGTATGCGTATATGGAGGCACTGGAATATCCGAACAAATAGCTGAGCTTAAAAGGGGGGCCGAAATAATTGTTTGCACACCGGGACGTATGATTGACATGTTGGCAGCCAACAGTGGCAAAGTTACAAACTTGAGAAGAGTTACTTATATTGTTTTGGATGAGGCGGATAGGATGTTTGATATGGGATTTGAACCACAGGTAAGAATTTGTTGAAGAAATAATTTGTACACTTGTACCTCAAATATTTTGATATTTTTCATAGGTAATGAGAATAATAGATAATGTAAGACCAGATCGACAAACTGTTATGTTTAGTGCCACCTTTCCTCGTCAAATGGAAGCTTTGGCTAGGAGAATTTTAGTGCGGCCTATCGAGGTTCAAGTAGGTGGTAGATCGGTGGTTTGTCCAGAGGTATAAACTTAACATTTATTAAAAAAAACATATGTTTTCAATGTATTGTTTGTAGGTGGAACAAAACGTAGTTATCTTGGAAGAAGATCAGAAGTTTTTGAAACTGTTAGAATTGCTGGGTATATACCAAGAACAAGGCAGTATTATTGTGTTTGTGGACAAGCAAGAAAACGCGGATATTTTATTGAAGGACCTCATGAAAGCTGCTTATAATTGTATGAGTTTGCATGGAGGAATTGACCAGTTTGATAGGTAAAAGAATTTTTCATAGTCACAAAATGCATCCTTGTCTTCTTCATTATGTTTAGTAGCTTTTTTGCTGCATTGTTTTCATGTATTCCTTTCCCTCCTATTTTTGTTTTTTTCTTAATTAATTTCATTTAAACAACAAAATTTGAGGTTTTTTTTTCAAAATAATAAGTTTGAAAGTGAATAAAACATGCGAGGAAATGTAGCAAAATTTGATAGTTTTGCTCAAGATTAAATGTTAAAAATCTCTTTTATGCAAACTCGTTGAAACATTTCAAATTTTGATTATTAGTGGCTCTTGATTTGTTAGGCTTAAATATTATAGTAATAAGAATGAAGAGATTGTATTTGATAATCGGAATTTTAAACTATTAGGGTGGGTATTATAAAATTATTTTGACAGATAACTAAAAGTTAACTTTTGGAATTACTATGAGAAGTAACGTCATTCCAGAATTTAACTTTTAGTTTTTTTGTCAAAAAAGTTTTATAATACCCACCCTTAGTGTGTTTTGATGGCTCTTAGAAAAATCATAAGATTTAAATTATTATTGGATTTTGAACGAGCTCTTGAGCAAATTTTCAAGGAGAAATGCAATATGAGTAGTAATGGCAAGGGAAAATATTACCAAGAGAACTTCCAGTAATATTACGTAAATTAAGGTAATATTACCTCACTCTCGGGGTAATACATATTACCAAAACGAGAATTTTAAATCGGTAACTTACGGTAATTTTCTCAGTAAGTTTCCATGTAATATTCTCAGGAATATTACGTCATAATATGCTCTGCAAAATCCGAAACGTTCACCTACTTGGAAGAAGCAGGCCAGGCTGAATTGGAGGCATAGTTTGATAGATTATTAGCTTTGTTCCAACACAGCAGGAAACCCGAGAGGAAACCGTACAATGTACCATCACAATTCTGCGCAAATCCCAAAATTTATGCATAGAATCCGAAATTTGTATACAGAATAGTTTCCAATTGTTCATGGGACGGTTTTTGACGTGTTGGAAAGCTATATGAACTTTACATGGCTGCTGTTTAGTAAAATATGTTTTTTTGTAGATTAAATGAACAATTACATATGACTACCGTTTTCTAGAATTTGTTTTTCTCAAGCTATGAACAATTCGAGGAACAATTAATTACTTCATATAGCTACTGTTTTGTGGAATTTATCAATTCCGAAAAATTAAATCTTCAGATACATATAAATATCACTTCCACTTTTGCTTTGCTGTATTTTGAAAATTACCGTAATTTACCTAATGTTCTTACCAAATTATAAATTACCGGTACTTAATTTGCCATCACTAAATATGAGACATTCGAACTTTTATCTCAAAATCCAATAATGATAAAAATATGTGTTTTTAGAAGAAGGTTTGGAGTATCTTATACTAGAATTTCGATACAGTTCCTTCAAAATTAGTAAAACAATCTTGAAAACGCAAAAATCAACTTAGAGTTATTTATTTATTTATCAATTTATACTCCTTTGAAACACAAAATTTGTAATAACATTAAAAGAGTGCTTACTGTCAATACTAACCTATATTACAAACTATTATCTACAGTAAAACTAAACTTACATATTGCGAGAGATCAATGCTAACAATAAACAAGTAAACAAAAAAAGTAATAGAAAACAACATGCAGTAGGATAGATCAATTCCAGAAGACTAGAAGTTGGTTTTAAAGGCAAATTCAATCTCATGTACCAAGGAATTGGGGTAACTGAGATTTATAATATGGTGCTGGACTCAAGTGTCACCTATTTCTTCAATATTTATCATCATTGGTTTCTATAAGATATAAACGTGGTTCATCTAAAACAGCTACAACTATGCCATATTCTCTTAGATCAGTTACCCAAACACTGTCCCCTATAGAAAGTTTAGACAGTTCTCTTGTTTGGTGTCTTTTATCACAACGCTTAGCTAATGTTTCCTTTGCTGAATTCTCTTTATCTGATATATTTTAGTATTAACTGTTTTATTGAGTATGCTTGACAGAATTGGCGAATGAGACCTTAACTTTTGGTTCATAAGTAGTCCCCATGCAAGAGGTGTTGTGCGATAAGCTAGCAAAGCCAAATCCAAGTCTTTGGAGTTTTTCTTTACTAAACCTTTGGCTACTTTTACAGTTGAATCTACTTTCCCGTTATAAGCAGGATAATGGGGACTACTAGTAATTAAAAAAAAGTCAAATTTTGTAGCAAATTCTCTGAATGCTGACTGAAATTGAGGCCCATTGTTAGAACGAATCTGTTCTGTAAGCCCATATCCATTAAACGGCTGCTTAAGTCTGCTGATGATGATAGATTTCGTCATAGTTTCAGGTTCGAAAATTTCAAAAAATCCTAAAAAATAGTCAGTCACAATAAGATACCAAATACCATATTAGGTACAATTGTACAGAACTATTCCTAATTTCTGCCAGGGACATTCAGGAAAATGTTCTTTGAGGAATGGTTCTCTTGGATTAGTTCTGAATTATTCACAGTCTGGGCAAAGGTTTTCAATTTGTGAAGAGAGACTAAACCACCATACAGATGCCCTGGCTATGCATTTGACAACCCCTTTATGGATAAACTCTAAACAATTTTGCTGTAAACTTGGAGGCATAGTAATTCTAGAATTTTTTACCAAAAGATTTTCTTGAAAGCCAATATCAAACCGGTGCGTATAGTAGGGATGGAGTTTAGGTTTCTCGGGTCATCTTGATAAACAGAACTCTACAAGTTCCTTCAAATTGGATCATTAGCTTGTTCCAACTTAATTTTCTCAAAAAAATGGAGATTTAATTTGGACTGACTGAATTACCAAACCCTCATGAGCATCTGCCACATGCACAAGCTCATCATCTTCAGGTTTCTGGAGATTTTTGGGAAAATTCCTGGATAAGGCATCTGCCACAATAAGATCCTTTCCTGGAACATAGTGGATAACATAATCATAGAGCATGAGTCTTATTCTGAACCTTTGAAGCCATGGAGTAAGCTGGTCTAGAGATTTGGTTTGCAACACCTGAACCAGAGGTTTGTGATCTGTTTCAAAGATGATAGAAATACCTGTGATATATTATTTAAATTTATCTGCCGATCATGCTAATGCCAAAGCCTCTTTTTCGATCTGAGCATAACGAAATTCTATTGTGGACAACAAGCGAGAAGTATAAGCGATAATTTTTTTATCCCCCTTCCAAATTCCCATTTCCATATGAAGAAGCATCAGAGAATATAATAACCTGTTTTTTTGGATCAAAATAAGCTAAACATAGACTGCTGTAGAAAGAAGGATTTCAATATTTTCACAGGCTTATTTTTGGTAATTTTCTCATACAAATGAAAAATTTTTCATCAATAGAGAAGTTCAAGTACTTGGGATCTTTTAGGCAAAAACCTACTGGAAAAGTTTACTAAGCTCAATAACTGTAACAATTCAGTTTTATTGGTTGGATCTGGAAAACACTCTTGATAGATTCTATCCTCTCGGGATCTATAGAAATACCTTTATGAGATATCATATGACCAAGAAATTTCAAAGACTGTACCAAAGTTGAGAGTAATATCCTCAACTTTAATTCGTTCTAAAACCTGGTTTAGAACCCGATCATGTTGCTCCAAAGTGGGAGCATGTATTAAAATGTCATCAATATGACTGAAAACGCCATTGATTTCTGACAATATTTTATTCAAGAGAATTGAAAAATACTCTGGAGCATTTGTTATACTCTTTCGAAGAAAAAACGACCGAACGGGGTAATGATAGTAGTAAATAGTTTTGATTCTTTGCTGACTTTAATTTGGTGAAAACCAGAGTTTGTAGCCAATTTAGAAAAATATTGGGAACCTTGTACCTGAGCTAAACTATTTAGTTTCGACTTTTCCAATGGGAAAATATGGCCTCTGACTTGCCCTATTTAAACACATATAATCCACGCATAACCGGAATGTCGAATTTCTGGAAATTTGTTAATAACTTTAGAGTGCATACTACACAATTTCCAACATTATTTTAGAAAGTTTCAACTGTATTTTAGAATAGTCATTTGTATTTAGAAAAAAAATTTCATTATTCATAGGGGGGATTTCTTAAATACAGATGACTATTCTAAAATACAATTGACAAATGAAGCTTTCTAAAATACTGTTGGAAATGGTGTAGAGGTTTCGATCAGACAGATGGTTTTGGTTGTCTCCGGACCAACACCATCACCAAACTTAAACAACCTCAACTCCACAATCCCTAATCGTCCTAATATGTACTTTGTTAACCCCTCAATAACGAATATATCTGTTAAACATATACTATTGATTTTAACTAATTTTACAGGCAAAGTACCCAGAACATTTAATTCTATTCCCAATGGACCTGTTATTTTATTTTTGAAACCACATGGATTTTTAAACAAATTATGATTTATGAATCTACTTGGAATACAGGTCACATCAGCCCCAGAATCTACCAAAAAATTAACATTTTTATTCAGCTTATCAACAAGCAACTGAATGGTCCATTCTTTGGAAGAAATATCTCTATTCATTAAAGAGTCCCAGCCTTGATACCTTGGCTACCTGTCTTTCTTGAAATAGTTCCTTATTTTGCTGAGCTTGAACTTCAGCTTGTTTTGCTATCCTTACAGCATCTTCCACTGTCAAATTAGCTTATAATTGCATGTTATTACTGGTCTTCAAATCAAGCATACCAATCCATCCCTTATAAGCTCATTTTTAAGTTTCCCATAATTACAGATTTCAGCAAGGCTATATAAACTTGTGATAAATACTTCAATTGATTCCCCTGGTTTCTGAACTCGAGAATTAAACGTTCAAATATAACATTTTTCTTTGGAATGGCATGCTTTTCAAACTCATCCAATATAGTTTGGTATGTGTATGTAGATGGCCGTGGCTCTGTAAAGGTCATCAGTATATCTTCAGGCTCATCTCCTATTACATATAAAAGCAAATCAATTTTCTCTGTTTCACTCTTGC